TGTGTGTGTGTGTGTGTGTGTGTGTGTGTGTGTGTGTGTGTGTGTGTGTGTGTGTGTGTGTGTGTGTGTGTGTGTGTGTGTGCGTTTGCGTGAGTGTGCGTGTACGTGTGCGTGTGTGAACACGTGTATTCACATATCCATATCTATCGTCGCTTAAAAGCTGAGGATACGTTAGACAATTCAAAAAACGATTATTCGCACCGCACAAAAAAGGATTATTCGCACCACGAACCGCACCGAAGCAAACGAAGCACCGAAGCAGATTCGAAATTTCAGCCGCTCGAGGTCCAAAAATAGGCCTCTAATAAATCCTATTTAAGAATGACAAACTAAATTACGGCAAAATGTGACATGACACGTGACGAATTCGGCTCATAAAAGGGGTAGGAAAAAACCGAATGTCATGAAACAAGTGAACATCGTTTTTTTTACCCAATTGGTACCGTTAATTTAGTAAATATTATTGATGTTTAAGTTGAAAATTGTACAGCCGATACTGTGTGGGTAAATATTTGCTTAACCTTATAGATTTTAACATGTACAGTTAGTTCTATTTTTTTTTATTGTCTATTTGTGAAATGAGTAAAAAAAGAAAAAGAGAAAAAAGAAAGAAAACAAGAAGAAAAAGAAGAAGAGGAAGAGAAGAAGAAGAAGAAGAAGAAGAAGAAGAAGAAGAGAAGAAGAAATATATATATATACTATATATATATATATATATAATATATATATATATATTATATATATATATATTATATATATATATATAATATATATATATATATATATATATATATATATATATATATGATACAGGTGTGTGTGTGTGTGTTTGTCTCTTTCTACTACTACTACTACAATTCTACTATTACACACACATCCCCAAATATATACATAAATACATAAATACACACAACACACACACACTCACCACGCATCATACACTCACACACACACACCACACAACACACGCACGCACACACACACACTCTCACACTCACACTCACATTCACATTCCACTCACACACACACCACCACACATTTACAGACACACACACACACACACTCTCACACCACACACATACACATATATATCATCTATCTATCTATCTATCTAAGATTATATACACATATATGATAAAGCTAATAATATCGATGATAATAATTGCTACAGATAAAAGTTAAACAAGAACCGGACCCGCTCTTAACGACAACTTCCGCACCTCTTATCCGGCTCATGTTAACCGGAACGGATAACAAACGCAAAGACATTCTAGGAAAAAAAGGCGCGCTAATTAAGTCAAAAGCAACGACGATAATCAAAGGTCAGACCAATTATAATTATCGCCGTTTAATCTGGAGAAAAAGTCACGCGTGAGATACATTGTTTTTTTTGTTTTTTTTTCTTTTTTTTTTTTATATAGTCACAGATTATTGCGGCTTACACTATTACATGCATCCGGATTGCATGTGTACATACATATACATACATACATAATGTATATATACATATATACATATGTATGTATATGCACAGACATATATATAACATATATATATATATATATATATATGCATATGTATGTATAATACATATGTATACATACATATATATATATATAATATATATATATATATATATATATATATATATATATATATATATATATATATATATATAGTATATATATGTATATACACGTGTGTGTGTGCGTATGTATATATGTATACATACTGTATATGTACATTTATATATGCATATACTTATATATGTATAATATATTATATACTGTATATAAATGAATTGATATATACATACACACATGTAAATATATACATATATATGATATATATATATATTATATATATATACACACACACACCACAACATATTATACCGATTCGGTGTGACGTCACGAGTCGGAGTCGCCATCCCGCTTGGTGAAAACAAACCCGACGCTCGCAGATCCCTCGCTATCCCAGTGAGTGAAAATGGCCTATGAATTCTTAGAATGAATTCTTAGTATGAATTCTTTGATCCTTCAAAAACCGAAGCGAAAAAGCGATATGAAGCAAAACTAGAAGCAGTGCAGCTAACAGGAGTCCATACCGACTGCCTTCCGAAATCTGGATGGACGATCCTTCGAAATGGCCTAATGTTGAATGTCCCGACATAAATGATTATTTCACCAGCACACCTGATAATAATAATAATTTTTTTCAACACAATTTTGCTACAGTAATTTATGAAGTTTAGCTATATACGGTATTTTTTCTGTGAAATCAGTGCCATTTCCTAACATCACTTTTCTTCCCATTTACTTGGAGAAAGTGAAATCACCTATAGGCCTATAACACACAACGTAATTTTCTCTCTCAGTGAAAGAGGCCCTTTACAGTTGTTTTATCTGCTGGACGATATGGCATTTCAGACACAAAGGCAACAGGCAACTGTATGCCTGCTTTGTTTCCATTCAGTGGACAGTGCTTGAGGACAGTGCTTGCTTGGGTGAGGTGGATCCGGGGATGGTTTGCCTGTAAATCAAAATTATGATAAGTCAGTACATTACAAAACACACACACACACACACACCAGCACACACACATCCACACACACACACATATATATATATATATATATATATATATATATAATATAAATATTAAACAAAACTGCTTTTGTGCTTTTAGAATATATGACTGCTCCAACCTAATGTCGACATTGTTGACCTTGTTTAGCCTTGGTAGGTAATGTAGATTGAATTTGAAAGTGATTATCTGTCTGGAATTTGAAAAAAAGGTGTAAAATATTAATAAACAGATCAATAAAATATTCCACCGGGCGCCCAAGCACTCCCATCAGCCTTCACGCGTTTCATGCCCTGTAGGCCTACCCATCGCTTCCAATTTTCCAGGTTTTCTTTTCGGATCTGGGAATAATGAAAGGTTAAATTTTCTTCCCCATCACGTTGGAGTTCGAACATCCCGCAACGCAGCTCCTCGGCATTTTTCACGCAAAGAATCTAATTTCTCGATAAAATTCAGCGACTTGTAAGCAAAGCGCAGTGAGTCTTCGAACGAACGAGGTTTTGTTGTCACCAAATGCTCGTTGCTAGGGGCGGTTGCTAGGCGTTGCCGAATCGGTCGATATGTACACATATATGTATATATATATACATATTTATCATATATGTTTATTATAATGTTATATATATAATAAATATATGTGTGTGGTGTGTGTGTGTGTGTGTGTGTGTGTGTGTGTGGTTGTGTTGTGTGTGTGTGTGTGTGTCTGTGTGTGTTGTGTGTGTGTTTGTGTGTGTGTTTGTGTGTGTTTGTTTGTGTGTGTGTGTGTGTGTGTGTTTGTGTGTGTTGTGTGTGTGTTTTTGTGTGTGTGTGTGTGTGTAGCGTGTGTAATGTGCATGTGTGTTTGTGTGCGCGTGTGTGTGGTATGTGCGTGTGTATACGTGTGTGTGTTTCGTACACGCGTGTGGTGTGTATGTGTGCGTCTACGTTCGTTTCGTCGCGCGGGTGTGTGTATACAATACGCATAC